ACCCCACGTTGGGCTCCCTGCTCAGCAGGGAGTCTGCTTCTCCCTTTACCCCTCCCCCCCCCGTGCGTGCGCTTGGTCGCTCTCTCAAATAAATTAAAAAGTTCTCTTTGAGCAATCAAAATACAAACAACAGACATATAGTTGCTATGGGGTAGGTGTCTATGTATGTGCTCTCACAGAACTCTCTTTTCTTTCTATGTTTTAGGTACTTTTTTTCTTCTACAACAGAAATTCCTCTTATGAATAGTCCTAAAAATATACAATTACAAAAGACAAAGCAAACCGAACAAATGGGAAAACATCACTTTCATTTCCAATACTCAGACCACCATTATTAGCATATTAGTGTATTTCTTTTTTTTTTTTAACTGAGGTATAATTGACCTACCGTATTAGTTTCAGGTGTACAACACATGATTTAATATTTGTATGTATGTTGAAATGATAACCACAATAACTCCACTTAACACCCATCATACTTTGTTACAAAATCTTGTGATGAGAAATTTTGAGATTTATGCCGTTAGCAACTTTAAAATACGCATTGCAGTATTACTAGTTATAGTCACCATGCTGTATATTATATCCCTGTAATTTATTTACTTTATAACAAAGTTTGTAACTTTTGAGCCCCCTTTGCCCACCCTTCACCCCTTGCCTCTGGCAGCCAATCTGTTCTCTGTATCTATGAGCTTGTTTCTGTTTTAAAGATTCTACCTGTGAGCCAGACCTTGTAGTATTTTACTCTGACTCGTTTCACTTACCATAATGCCTTCAAGGTCCGTCCATGTTGTCACAAGCGGCGAGATTTCATTCCTTTTTATAGCTGAATAATATTCCTCTGTGCATATACAGACCATATCTTCTTTATCCATTCATTTGTCAGTGGACACTAGGTTGTTTCCAGATCTTCGCTGTTGGAAATAATGTTGCAATGAATACGAGAGTGCTTATATCTTTCTGAATTAGTGTTTTTATTTTCTTCAGATAAATACCCAGAAGTGGAATTGCTGCATCATGTGGCAGTTCTAGTTTTAATTTTTTCAAGGAACCTCCGTACTGTTTTCCGTAGTGATTGCACCAACTTGCATTCCCATCAACAATGCACCAGGGTTCCCTTTTCTCCACATCCTTGCCAACACTCGTTGTCTTTTTGATTGCAGCCATCCTAACAGGTGTGAGGTGATACCTCCTCAGGGTTTTGATTTGCATTTCCCTGATGATTGGTGATATTGAGCACCTTTTCATGTACCTGTTGGCCTCTGTATGTCTTCTTCGGAAAAATGATGATTTAGAACTCATTTTTTAATTGGATTTTTTTTTGCTATTGAATTGTAGGAGTTCTTTATATATTTTGGGTAGTAACCTCTTATCAGATATGATTTGCAGATAGTTTCTATTTAGTAGCTGGCCTTTTCATTTTGGTGATGGTTTCCTTTGCTGTGCAGAAGGTTTTTAGTTTGATATTGTCCTACTTGTTTATTTTTGCTTTTGGAATCATATCCAAAAAATCACTGTCAAGACCAATGTGAAGGAGCTTACTGCCTATATTTTCTTCTAGGAATTTTATGGTTTCAGATCTTACATTCAAGTCTTTAATCCATTTTGAATTCATTTTTGTGTATTGGGTAAGATAGTGGTCCAGTTTCATTCTTTTGCTTGTGGCTGTCCAGTTTTCCCAACACCATTTCTTGAAGAGACTGCATTTCCCCATTGCATGTTCTTGGCTTCTCTGTGGTAAGTTAATTGACCGTATAGGCTTGGGAGGGGGTGGTGTTTTTGTCACTCTTGTTTCTAATCTGTTGTTTTGTTTGCTTGTTTTTCTTGTACATAGTTGAGGCATACTGCTTGAATGACTTTTTCCCACTACTTATTTCGCTTAGTATTTTCACATAAACCATAAAATATGCCAGGGAGTGGGGTGGTGAACCTTCTCTTGACACTTCAGTGGAACACTCTTAGCAATCCATAGCAGTGTGTGAGAGGAGTGTGAGAAAGGAGAAATAGTTGAGCAATTTGGCAGAGTTACAAAGTAGAGTACACAGAATTGTAAGAACTAATAGCTGCTGAGCATGTCAGGCTTCTAAATTCCTTGGAATGTTTCCCCATGACCTGGAGTGAAGGTGTGCTTGATCAACTGCCGCTGAAGTTAGTATTTTAGGCACTTGGTTTCCAAGAAGTATTAATGAAACATCTGGCACTTTGCAAGTTGTTAGATGACTAATTCTTTGAGTTGCTGTTTTCCAAGTGTGTGATCTCCTCCCTTCCTTTCTCTTCAACTTCATCCCACATCACTTTCCCCATTTCTCAGCATCTTTCCTATAGGCACCATGAATGCCTTTCTGTAAATGTTCTGAGCACCTTCTTTGTAATTGCTGTCTGAAACACTCCCTCTTCCCCGACCCCCTCAACACTTTGCTTTTTGCTTGGAAGTTTCCACATTCTTTCTCTCTTGGTCTAAATGGTGCTTCCTTAGAGGTTCCCCTTGATCTCCCTTTATGACCAGTTTATTATTGTGAGCGGAAGTCACCTTCATTATATTCATGCATGCAATGAATTGTTTAAGAACCACTTCTAATAAGATGTTTCTAAGAAGGAGTTTGCAAGCTGTGTTCACACAGTGTTGTATCGGTAATGGAAGTGATACCCACTAAATAAGCATAAAGTATTTAAGTACATTTGTAATACAGAGGTTTCTAAGAACATATCCTGCAAGCACCATAGAGAACAGTGTTAGGTGGAAACTGCACCCATTCTAGGAAGAATGAAGTGATGAATTCACTTATAACATAGATGTTTCTAAGACAGCTACTTGCAAGCTCCCTATGACAAGTGTTATATTAGTGACTGGAAGTTCTCCACATGTTGTAATATATGTATTATAGGGTTAAGATCACCTGTAATAAGGATGCTTCTAAGAACAACAACAAACAAAAAACAGGCCCTTTGTGCCAGGAAACCTTTGTACAATCCTCCCTCTCTACACCAAGACTCTATTTACCATGTAACAGTCCTTCAGCTAGAAAAAAAGGGGGCTGACAAACTGCCATAATGTAGTACCATCCTATGGTACTGTAAGATTTGCGCTCTTCCAATCCAGAGATAATTTGTATAAGTTACAAGAGAACAAAAAAATGATTGTTCTATAGAATTTTTTGAACTTTATGTCATGAGAAATGAAGGATGTTTGCCTACAACTTTGTAATATTTCTAGTAAATAAGAGGCAATCTCCCTCTTAGAGTCCTAAAGGAAGAAAGGAAAGCTATAAATGCATTGCCATGAGTCATTTGGGTGTACAAGAAGGTAGCCAGTTACCTCACCCTGTAGGGCTCCTGTGATGGCAGTGTGTCCCTAAAGCTTGTCTATTGACCAGCTTCTCTTCTCCCATCCCTTTCAGGCTGGATATATGTGAGTGTATGTATGTGTGGGGGAAGGGGGGAATGGGTTTTCACTGTTTGGACTTTTGAAACAAAAAGGGAAAAACTTTAAAAGTAGTAAGCTAAAAAAAAAATCAGTGCAAATATTATGGGATTGTTAATTTAAAAAAAATCTTGCTAAAAATAATAGGAATAGTGTTGAAAACCCTCTGACTGATAATCTGTTCCTTGGCATTCGACTTCTTTTACTCCCTGCCTTATAAAAATATAGTTAATGAGGTTCTGGCAAAGAGAAGGGAGTAGCCCTGGTCTTTGGTCAGGAATTCCCCTTCACAGATATTCCCACATACCCCTCACCCTCCAACCCAGTTACTCTTCAGGACATCCTCTGGTGTTTTTCCTTCGCAGCCCTCATCAACATTTAGAATTGTAGTGTGGATTTATGTTTAGTGTGGTTTAATGTTTGCCTCTCTAGTTCGAATGCAAGCTCCCAGACGGTCAGGTCCTAGTTGGTCTTGTTCACCCCGTTAGCGGTCTCCCTGGCCTGCCATGGTACTTGGCATATGGGGAGTAAATATACATTGAATAACTAATGCTTTAAATGACTTTTAAAAGATAGACTCTTAAGCTCTGTCCCAGTTGGTTCATTTGAGGAAAAGGATTGACAAAATGAGTTTCTGGTAAGATTTTCACATCCATGCAGTAAACACTTATTGAGGGTCTGTCACCAGGTCAAACCTTGGAAATGTCCCATGAATAAGGCACGGTCGATGCCCTCCAGGACCTCGGAAACTAGCAGAGGCACACACACACGTATGTGAATAGCTGCAGTTCTCTACAGAACAGTGTAATAGAGAGGTGTGCACATGAGCCTTTGGAGAGTACAAGGAGGAAGGATTTAATTCACCTGGGGCGTGAAAGTTTTCAGCCAGGCATGATATTTACACTGGGGAAGACGGGAAGAAGAAGAAGGAAATAGGGGAAGTTTGGCAGGTTAATTAGTAGGAACAAGAGGATCCCAAGCTGGGGGTGGGGCCGGAGATGTGAAAATGAATGCCATGGTTTGGACAGTATTTGTATGTTTTAGGCGCTGGGTTGTGAATGCTGCACCAGGGAGTTGGGATTTGATCTTTAAGGAGCCAGGGAACCCAGCTGTGGTAAGAATTGTAGATGGAGTGCAGCAGTGGGCAGCCTTCACTGGAGGGGAGTTGATGCTGTGGTTAGAAAGTCAAACCATTCACTGCAGTTGCAGGCATTTTCCATTAAAACCACCTTCATTTAGAGTTCATAATGTATCTTTCATAGAAACAAATTCTAGAATTTGACAGAGGTGAATATTTTGCTAGAAATTGGTAGCTTTTTTAAAATGTATTTTCCAGGCAAAGACTTTTTAATGTATTTTTATGTTGAATTTTAGAAACTTTTGGAAAACATTTTCAAAAATTGTACTCAGATAAATGTTAAAGTCCCTATAGAATAAACATCACAGTGACATGTAATGAAATATTTTGGATTCTTCCAGATGCGTGAAATGCCTAGGTCTTCTCCTGCTATGCCCTGGTTAAGGCATGCGTCTTTATCAATACCTCACCCAAACTAGACCAAACCTCTCTCTCTTGCAGTTCCACGGCAGCCTTCAAACGACTTGTTTGAAATATTTGAAATTGAAAGGGGAGTCAGTGCAGATGATGAAGCAAAAGATGATCCAGGTAGATCCTTACATTTTTCGCATGTTATGACATTTTATTGTTTCCTTCCATTTCCTGAAAATGATTTTTAAATTGTAGATTGTTACATCTGGGAAAAGTGTACTTTTTTTTTTTAACAGCTTGGTTTCCTCTGTAGTTATACAGTTGTTGAGTGAAAATAATTACATATCATCTTTTTAAAAAAATATTAAAGCAGCACTTAAACTATGAAGAGGAAATCCTATTTTGTAAGTGATGATATAACAAGATCATAATTTGGCCACATTGTTGTGTTCTATTTTTACAGCTGAACACACATGCACGATTTTTCTAAGGAAGGATTCATGTGCTCTTCCTTTGATCTCATGGAGGGAAGTTCTGGTCGGATAGTTAAATGTGGCTAGAAGAGTACACGTGTACAGATCGATAACCGTAGTTCACAAATTTGTTTTTACAAATTGTGCCATTGTGGTCTACTCAATCTTTCTGGTCGTTTTCTTGTAGGTGTCCTGATACACAGTTGTAATTTTGACCATGGGCTTTGTGGATGGATCAGGGAAAAAGACAGTGACTTGCACTGGGAACCAGTGAGAGATCCAACAGGTAAAACCAGTTAATCTGTATCAATTTGATCCTGTCTGGGGACCCTGGTTTTAACAACCAAGAATACTGTAACATATCTCTGTTTACCGTCTTTATTCAGTAAAGAAAGATCTCGTCCAGCATTACATATTGCATATTTTTTAAGTGAACTAGTCAGCAATAAACTAGAATTATATTATGGGAAGACAAGTAGTTCATTAAAAGAACTACTACTCTAGTTTCTGTCAAAGAGCTTGGTAAGTAAAACCTTTAGATTCATTCTAACATAGAATTTCCAAGTTATTTGTTGTGCCCCATTCCCAGGCATGAGAGAAATAATATAACACCAGCCCTGGTTGTCATCCCCAGTTGTTTTCTCAACTTTGTCCTTTTTTAAAAAGTTGTGACACATTGCAGAAAGAGACACTGGACGTTTCTGTGAAGTTTTGAATATTTCTCTGGAAAAAAATTTCCACCTAACTTAGATGCTGAAGAAATTAGTTCTAAATTACCACCATTTATTCCACAGGAGAATGTTATTAGAGAGGTAGATTGACATAGTGCCTTGGAAAATTAAGACTTTTAATGTTTCAGTGCTTACAAGATGTTTTGTCATCTTGTTTCAGAAAGCAAAGTTACACGTTGTTCTTGGTTTTTTCCCTCCCCACAGTAATTAAATCTTTTATGGGTGGGGCCAAGTTAATGGGAGGGTAAGGAGTTAAATTTGTTTTCTTCCTTTTATACTCCTGGTTCTAGACTTAAGAATGAAAGATAGAAGACATGAAGAAAAAGTGTGTTTTTTATTTTAAAAGCCTAGTTCTTGAATAGCATAGAGCACAAAACATAGAAAAGTTAACTTGAGGGAAGATATGCTCTGTTAACCAACTGAGCCACCCAGGCGCCCAAGATATGCTCTGTTAAACCAGTTCTTAAACCTCAGTGTGCATACAGATCAGCTAGGAGCCTTGTTAAAATGTAGATTTTGTTGTATGCCTAAATGCTCCTTGGAGATACCTATGGTATTAGTCCTTGTTGCACATTGTGAGTACAGAATTATTAAAAAAAATTAGCCCAAAAATATATTCATTAGATCCCCCTAAGGTGGAAATAGAACAGATTTTTAAAAACGAAAATTTGAGGACACCTGGGTGGCTCAGTCAGTTAAGTGTCTGACTCTGGATTTTGGCTCATTTATGGTCTCGGGGTCCTGGGATTGAGCCCCATGTCGGACTCCCCACTCAGAGGGGAGTCTGCTTGTCTCCCTCTCCCTTTGCCCCTCCCCCCACTCATGCACACACATCCTCTCTGAAATCTAAAAAAAAAAAAATGAAAATTTGAGGTAACCTTTTAAAAATATGAATATTCAGTAAGTTCAAATGGGTTTTTAGTTTCTCTTAGATACAAAATAAATTTTAGTGGCCCCCCCATACACACAGTGAGGTTCCTCTCATTTAAGGTTGACTCTGAGCAGGACATTATTAATGTCACAGATATCTGTGGATAAGAGAGAAACCATTTATTTAATATCTACAGTAGTCCTGACTCATTCATCATCCTGTTGGTTCCGTTTAATCCTCTCACCCACCCTGTGACGCAGGTAATATTGCTTATGTTTCACAAAGGCAATAATGAGGCCCAGAGGTTGTATATATTTCCTAAGGCCACAAAGCTAAAGAATAGACTTCATATCTAGGCCTCCCTGTACTTCGTGTGGCCTCCCCCCTACACTTGTGTGTGTGCACTATCTGCTTAGCAGATCTCAGGCCTGTAGGTTTGACTGACCCCTGACCTGAAGCCATCGGCTACAGGGTGGAGCATCTTTGACAGTCACGTAGGATAGAATAGTGAACGTTGTTTATGGTCCTGATAAATAACTCTTTCAAGTAAGGTACATTGGTGAGAGTTATTCATGCTAAACTCAGAGGATTTCATTATACTTCCATAGAGGCATCCAATGTAGAAAATCCATGTAAAATTCTTGATTTTTTTAAAATTTCTGTATTCTATTGTAGAACCAGTTTTGTATTTTAACACTTTTTACTATTCATCACATACGTAAATGTTTTAAATTTGTGGTGATCCAAATTCCACTTGCCCTCTGCTAGAAAGAAATGATTGGAAATTAGAATGATAGACAAAAAAATGTGAAACAGTCATTTGGCAATGATAGAACAAATTGAAAGGAAGTGGTGGCTGTTTGTGTGACTGGGTAGCTCTTAATGATTGTCTCTGGCCCCTACGGGGGGCCATTCTTTCTCTGCTTTTGTCCCTTCCCCTCTTCCCTTCTGCACATAGCTAGGATGCAAGAGGAGGTTACTCAAATGAGAGGGGTGAAAGCCTTGAGCATTTTAGCGAGTAATTATTAAATCAGTTTGAGTGAAACCTGTGTCATCACTGTCAAAAAGTTGGGTCATTTCCATAGAGGTAGGATATTTTTCCCCAGAATGGCAAATCCACTTTGGTGGGTTCTTTCTAGTCTGAGAAGAACAGAGATAATTGTAGGTCACTTCTAAGAACACGACCTAGATGGAAAGGTATCTCAAAGCCTGTGGGAAAACAAGTAAAGAAACCAGAATGTTCAGCTCGGAAAAGAAATAATGGAGCAAGACTGCTTTTCAAATATTTGACCAACAACATCTACCACAGTTATTCTGGAACCACAAGGGGATGAGAAATCAGATCAGTAGGTAAAAGCTACAGGGAGATCAATTTTGGTTCACTCTCCGCAAGAACTTGCCAATCGTCAGAGCTGTCTAAAAAGAGAACAGGATGACTTGGAAATAGGGAGCTCTCCATTGGTGGAGGCGTTTGGGTGACATGTAGCAAGATGTTGTTTTGAGCATTGGGTAAGTGTTGGATTAGAAAATCTGCTACACCTCCTCTGAGAGCCTCTGGCTCAGAATGGAATGCTCCCAGGTCTTCCCAGAGAGATTGCTGAAGCAGCCAGGCTCTAGCTTGGGAAGCGGATGGGAAGACCAAAGGATGGCAGAGGGGGAAGATGGGGTAGGAGTGCATGGCATATGTCAGGCTGGAATTGCGGAGGAGCTTTTTAGAATATGTTGGGGAATTCTAACCAGGTACCGATGGAAAAATACTAATAAGGCTTATTATGAAAAATGCCTGTTTTTCTTCTAGGAAGTTCAGGGATGTGAGTGTGTATATATCCCATGCTAAGACTAGAGAAGAATATAACCAATTTAATTATTTGTGTATTATCTAATTACCAAGCTTTTTTTTTTCTGTCTAGACTGTACCATTTGTAAAGGAACATAGGTTTGGATTTCCACCATTATGACTGATTTTTAATGTGCATTTCTTATGCAGATATTCTCATGCTAATAAAACTTTGAGAGACACCTGCAAAGTACATTCGTTTGCTAGCTGCTTTCTTGGTGCTCATTAGGTTTTATCCCATTCGGTCTTGAACTTCATTGTGAGATAGTGAAATTAATACTTGCCTCTAAGAGATGGAAGATTGCGCTGCTGACAGATGTGGTGATGCCCTGAAGACACACCCTTCTGTAAATGTCAAGGCTGGACCCCAGGGGGCCTTTTCCTGAAATGCTGATCTCTGGGGATCAGGGTTAAAGGAAACTGACTCAGTTCTGTGTCTGCTAGTGATAGCTACAAGGTATTCACTTTCAAGTATATAGGGACCAAGCCAGCTTGTACATGCAAGTATGTCTATTGCAGCATTAAACATTATTTTGAAATAGACATAAATAGAAAAATCAACAGTGAAAATAAAGGCTTCCGTCCCCAGCCCTGGCTCCTAGTCACCCTCCCCAGATGCATCCAGTTTCTTGGTTATCTTTCCAGAGATATATTTTTCTACACAACAGCCCCCTGCCCTGTACCTTGCTTTTGTCACTTAAAGATTATATCTTAAAGAGTTAATACACACGTGGACTTTGAAGCCAGAAGGCTTGGGCTGAAACCTAGAGCTACCACGCGCTAGCTTTGACCTTGAGCAGGGTATTGAAATGGAGAGAATAGTGTCTATTAAATGTATGTAAAGCATTTAAAGCAGTGCCTGGCCCACAGTTACCATTAAAATAGTATTAGCCATTGTTGTTGGAGCTTGTCCTGCATCAGTGCCTACAGAACAACCTTACTGTTCTTTATGGCTGTTACTCCGTTCCTTTTTAGATGTACCACATTGTGTTTAACCCACCATTCACTGAGGCACATTTCAGCAGAACGGTGCTGTGGTGGATAGCCTTGTACATGTATCATTTCGTATCTGCTTGAATGTAAGATAAATTCCTGGATGTGGAATTGCTAGGTCAAAGGAAATGGGAGTTTTGAATTTGATAGTTTTCTCAACTGACCTTCCTAAGAGTTGTAGCAATTTATGCTCTCACCAGTAATATTTAAGAACCATCCCCAACAGATCTTATTAAACTATTTTTTTATCCTTGCTAAGCTTATAGGTGAAAAGGCATTGCCTTTTAATTTTGATTTTCTCTTATATGAAAAGATGGCCAGCTTTTCACAGTATTTAAGTAATCTTTTTCTTTGATGCCCTTTATTTTGTGTATTTTTATTACTGATTTTTGTTATTGATTTGTACGGTTTATTTAAAAAGGGAATTTAGTCCTTTTCATGTTTTGCAACTATTTTTTTGCTTGTCTCACTGTTTTATGGTACTTTTTTCTTAAAAAGGTGAAAATTTGGGGGGCACTTGTGATGAGCACTGGGTCTTATATGTAAGCGATGAATCACTCAACTCTATTCCTGAAACTAATATTACATTGTATGTTACCTAACTGGAATTTAAATAAAAACTTGAAATTACAAAAGAAAAGTAAAATTAAAAAGTGAAAATTTGGAAACTTCAATAAGAAATTGGCTGAATTATTAATGGCATACTTGGAGCTATGAAAAATGGCTGATATATTTAATGAAAACAAGTTATTACACTGCAAATAATGTGCATATTCATGTGCATTAGTGTTCATGTATTTGCATAGGAGAAGTTCAGAAGTTAAAATGTTAGTAATTATCTCTGGTTTTGGGGATCATGACATACTTAAATTTTCTTTATGCTTTTCTATTTCTTTTTTCCTGCAGTGGACATTACTGTATTACTTCCCCTTAAAAAACAAAAAATTAAGCTCCTTGCATTTGAGAGGTAAATACCAGCAAACCATAATGATCTTAGTTCTACCTGGGCTGGTTTCTCAGCTAGGCCAAAAGATGTAAGAAAAAAAAAAAATCACTGCAAACCTCCCCCTCATTTTTATGACCACACAGTTAACAGGTAAAGTAACGGACATTATGTTGTTCTCTTCGTAAATTGAAATTGTAAAGGCACAAACCAGTACAGAGTTAAAAATAAATACATTTAAATTTTATCACCTAACTTTCTGGCAAGTTTTGGGGTTTTGTTGTTGTTGTTGTTGTTTTGTTTGTAAAAAAATAATGCTCCAAAAACAAAAACCAAAAACTAGATATTATGATGCTTTAAACTGAAACCATGGAAATATTTAATGTAATTTTATATTTAAACCAGTATTTTGGAATCTGAAATAAAATTTTTATTTTATTTAATAGGTAACTTGTTTGGGGTACTAGATCAGTTTTTCCCCTGAGCTACTATTCCACCCACGTACCATTTCCTTCTATTAAAAAGGGAGAGAATTCTTTACGGTAAAACAAAAACCTGGTGCCCACAGAGCAGCCCCATAGAGAAAGAGCAGTTATAGCCTCATCCATCATGATTTACATTTTAGTTTAAATACCTATGCAACAGGACTATTTGGCTCTTATTAGGATGCCTCGGTTTGTTAGGCTGTCTACAGGCCGTGTCTGGCAGAGTGATATTAGTGTACGTTCCACAGGGTTTCAAGGTAATCCTTGTTTTCTTAGAACTTTCAGGTTTAATAACCTGGTTGTAATAACCTTATATCTTAGTCTTAACCCAACCAGGTTGTAATAACCTTATATCTTAGTCTTAACCCAAATACCTGTGATGATTCAAAGCTGACTTATAGGGAGACATTTAAGCCCCATCTAAATGTTTTGGCCCAAAATATTGTTTTGATGAATTTGACGGGGCACAGGGTAGGGAAGGAGGATGAATTCTGTGTGTGTTTTTGGTGGTGAGTCAAGTACATGCTTCAAGGACCTGTTGCCCTGCAGGGCTTTTTGCCATATTCTTAGAACATCTTTTATTCAACAAATGACATCAAAGCCCTACATAGGCTAGGATATAAAATGGGGTGGTTTGGGGGAAAGGTTGGTTCTGACATCAACAAGTTTACGGTCTCCTGGGGGACAGAAACACGTCAACCCATGATTCCAGTCTGAGAGCAGCAAGGGCTGAATAGGGGGTCAGGCTGTTCTGAGCTCAAAACATTACCCTGCCCCTCACTGGCAGAGCGGTATCTTGGGTGCCTTCACCTCTCCCAAGTCTTTGCTTCTGCAGCTGCAGAACAAGCCGAATGAGTGTTCCCTTCAAAGACTAAAGATGCTCCCAGGAGAGAGGCTAATGAGCCTAGCACAGGCGGACTATACACAAATCACCGATTTGGTCCTTTGAATACTCAGAGGGTACTCAGTGGAGAAGTCACTTGAAGAATAGGACACCCCCCAAATGATCGTGTCTTACGCAGAGCAAGCATAAGAAAGGAAGGATGGTGTATCTCTTAACTGAGAAATAAGTAGCATTTCTACCAAAACAGGTACAGGTGTTCAACATTCCAACCACGTATTTCTTAGGGATGATTCAGTGCTGAAACAGTGTTGTTTTTCAGTTGGCTGTAGTAAGACAGCTGGGGGGAATGTCATTTGCACATGGACTGAGTTTCAAAATACTACTTGCAACTTTCCCTCTCTTGAGAAGGGGCAACCCCCACTTCACTGCTGCTTAAGCTACCCCCAATCCCCACTTCTCAGTGACCGTGGTGGTTACTCTAACAATAGGGGAAAGCAAACCCTGCAGCCCTAGGGATCTGAGGACATCGTCAAAGTGACCTGTCCAAAGTGCAAGTTTTCCTTAATGTTTTGTGTACATGTATATGTAATAAAAATTTATATATTAATTATATATAATGTAGATTTGTTTTGATGTAAAAGTGTCTTAAACTGCTTGCCTACAAATAAAATTGATGCTCCAGAAAGATGTAGAGGTTTCCAGAACACCTCTGCATCTTCTTGGGGCTAGGGGTACTCCAGTGTGAGAAACATGGCAAACTGACCTTTCCAAAGGACGCTTCTTGCTTTAGAGATAAAAAAAAAAAAAAAAAAAAGAGAGAGAAGAAAGAACAAACCTATCTAGTGCCCCTTTGATTACCATCTGCTCTACTGCCTGGGGGTTAATTATCCACATAGAAAATTCTCCCTGGCAACTTCGAGTCAACCAGCCAGCCAGTTTGACAACATAATCATACATTGGTGAGGATGGTGAGCTTGTGTCTGCCTGTGTATGTCTGATCATATTCAACAGGAAATGGTCATAGTGTTAGGATCACTCATTGTGTCCTGGGCATAATTCGCACTCTCCATGAGCCAAGTATTTTCTGTAAACACAAAGCACAGAATTTAAGAGAGGCCTAGAAATAAGACCTATTTTTCTCCCCAAATCTGGAATTCTGTACAAATGACTATCCCAGGTTGCAGTTTATTCAAAGTAAACCTGCCATCCATGCTTTTGGTGCTAGACAGGGATGTCAGCACGTACACACGCAGCCCTGCTTTTCCCATTCCAGGTGGACAGTATCTGACAGTGTCGGGAGCCAAAGGCCCAGGGGGAAAAGCTGCTCGCTTGGTGCTACCTCTCGGCCACCTCATGCATTCAGGGGACCTGTGCCTGTCGTTCAGGCACAAGGTGACGGGGCTGCACTCCGGCGCGCTCCAGGTGTTTGTGAGAAAACACAGTGCCCACGGAGCAGCCCTGTGGGGAAGAAATGGTGGCCATGGCTGGAGGCACACACAGATCACCTTGCAAGGGGCTGACGTCAAGAGCGTAAGTAGAACTGCAAAGGGGGCAGAGCCTGGGAAGTTTTCCTTTCATAGGAGAACTCTGGGATCTGAATCTGAAGAAGCCTTGTTCTCTTCATGCATTCAGGCACAAAGGTTTGTGTTTTTCTGGGTATGAGAACTCTGTTCTTTGCCTCTTCCTGTAATCCCTTTTTGCTGCTGCTTATATTCTTCACTGCAACCTATGACCACCACCACTCTCCCCCAGTGCTGGTGAAAAGCCCCTATTTTTAATGGGAAAAAAAATCAGGAATTAAAAAAGAAAAAGGTAACAACTTGAAAGGGTAGAGATGGTGAGCTTAACTGTACCCGCTTTTCCTTTTTCTGCAACGCCTTTACTTTTCAGAGTTACCCTGTTTTGTTTTTGTTTTTTTTTTTTGAAATATTTCTTTAAAGTCTAATTTTGCCTCAGAGATCGTAGTTAAGCAGCCTTGGGTGGAAACCGAGAACAATATGCTTGGGAAGTCCTATTCAGGACAGGATGTGGGAAAGCTTTGATTGAATATATAAATTTTATCTTAAGTAATCAAGTCATAGGTAGCAATAAAATGATCTGTAGCATCCCACCAAAATAATGTATTTGGGAAAGCATATTTATGTTCATATTTATAAAACTTGCTATTAGGAGATCCTGCATCTATGACTATAGGTGTGGTTTCTAGAAACTACGTTAAGAGGGATAGACTCCATTAATACAGCTTTTATCTTAGATTTGTTTCACCCTTTGAAAAAAATATTTGGAATAATAAAGTCATTTCAAATTACAGCATAGAAAGGTTTCTGTTTTTAAAAGAGCAAGGATGCTCTAAAGAAGAAGATAAAAATATAAGAAAGTGTTTATACTTTACATAAGTAACAACATAACAACACTGTGATTGGATTGTGGTGTCCGGTTCAAATCCATTTTAGGCAACAAAGCCAGCTTAACCCAAGCAAATGTCTAGGATAGGCTGCATGATTATGATCTTCCAGATCTTCAGCTCTTATTCCTACATCTTTATATTCCATCTTTTTTTTTTTTTTTTTTTTTTACTTCTAACCTTGGTAATCTTTGGCAAAGTGTCCACTTCATAAGCATTCCTAAATTGAAGTAGTCTGTCGTTCAGAATTGCTTTTTTTAAAGAGTAACTGCTTCTGAGTGATGTGGTCTGATTAATAGTTTACTGATGATTTGAGTTTCTACCAAAAGGCAAGCCTCAGGTGACACTGGTTATGTTCTAGTCTTTCCTTCTGTTGAGTAAGTTCACTATTTGGTTTGGGGGAAAGTTTGCCTTCATTTTGCGAAACGAGTGGGCATTGGGAAGGGGCAGAGGAGGCTTGACTGGTGTGTGCGTTCTCTCCCCAGGTCATCTTCAGAGGTGAAAAAAGGCGTGGCCACACTGGGGAGATTGGATTGGATGATGTGAGCCTGAGAAGAGGCCATTGCTCTGAAGAACGCGAGCAACTTCCGAACTAGCAATGAATTCCCCTGTTGCTCTCTTCTTTTTCCAGTCTTCACCTCCTGTCCTCTCTCCCTCTTATCAGGCCTAGGAGAAGAATGGGTCAGTGGGTCAGGAGAAAGTGGTGGGTGACCCACACCGCGTGGCCTGCTTTTGTGCAATTCCAATGAACAGTGACACCCTCCTTGAAATACAAGGGGCGCCTGTGGGCGCATCCAAGCCAGCTTTGGGTGTTACCTTCCAGGCTACAGATCTTTTAGGAAGGCCTTGGGCACATGTGCCATCCTTCGTCCTGGTTACGAGGTGTTCCTAGTAGCAAATTATGGGAGAAGTTTTCAAAAGAAATGCGTGCAAATGGCCATTCTGTTATCTGTTCAGTGTTGTACCATGAGTAGTATTGACTTTCCCTAAGCTATGTTGTACAATGTGCTTGTGAAATTGGTTTCTCCCCTTCACTTGTTAGCTCTGGCCTGACCTGAACTCTGACTTTTACTGCCATTCACTTTATAAAAGAAGGGTGTGTAACATATCAAGATGCATTTATTCTCATTATCTGTATTTTTCTTTTAAAGACAATTATGTAGGGTGAGCACGTAATCCCTCGTTAGTAGTGTGTTTTGTGTAAATGTGCTATTGATATTAAGTAGTTATGTGTTCCTAATATTTACAGACTCTAGTTGCAAGGGAAAAGGCAGCTTGGGATCTCTTGAATTAAAAACTACCCAGTGAAATGTCATCCAGTGCCATGACTTTATTTTGGCAGCAATAGAAAATCGGAAGAGATGTCAGGTGTGGTAGTGGAAGGATGAAGTTTTTCACGGCCTTGAGTCTGATCACTGTAAAGGATAGTGAACCATTCAGGTAGACAGGAAGCTGCAGTTACCATATAAAACCCTCACCGTTTCAGGTTATACTTTAAAACCAACAGTTTTTACAGTAACATGGCTCTCTCTGGTAATCCTTAAAAAGCTCTGTAAAAGCTCTGGTTGTTTCAGAGAAAAGATTTTGTTTCTGGAAGGGCGAGGGGAAGCATGGGGGAAGGTCTGTTGAAACAGATTTTTCATACTAATTTTTAAGTCCAGATATACATTTAGGCAGGTCTAGCTCATAACTGTGTGCTGTCTTGTCAGAACGGGATTGGAAACAAGTCCTGTGCTTGGAGGCATTTTGTTGGATTCACACACACGTCAGAGCAAGAGGACAAGATTGGAATCCTAGGATCTAGGAACCCCTAACTATATTTCCTCCCTGGATATTTTACCTTCATATTAAAAAAATACACGACTTTTATAAGGCAACTTACTCCTGAGGCTTTTCTTCATTTCTGATTAATCAAAATATTTTCGGCTGTTTTTGCCAGGAATCACAAAGATGATTAAAGGGTTGGAAAAAAAGCTCTATGATGAAAAAGTAAAGGAACTGGGATTATCCAGCATGGCGAAGAGAAGACTGAGGGGCCAACCATTGCTGGTTTTCCAGTGTATGGATGGTACGGAGAGGATGGTGACCAGCTCTTCTCTGTATGTGCTAAGAATAGAACAAGAGGAAACAGGCTTAGACTGGAGTGCGAGGGGGCATTTCCTGGCAGGGACAATTGTTAAATTAGAATCCTTCGTTTAAGAAAAAAAGTGAATCTCCCTCTCCCTCTTCTCTCTCTTTTTGAGGCTTTTAAAAAATTAGATGAAAATCTGTCTATTTAAGATCCTTAAAGATGTTCTTATGTCAAGGTAGAGTAACAGAATCTTCTGAAAAATGTTTTGATCCTATTACTATGTAACGAAAATCTTCAGAACAGAGTCATTTGGACGAGGCCAGGGTCTTATTTAGGCATTTACCTCTTGGCCCCTAATGGAGGAGAATCAAAAGGGGAAAAGCCCACCAAGTGCAGAGCTCACTAAAAGACCTCTCTATGGCAAACCTAGCAGGATTAAAACAGGAAGAAAAAAAAAAGACAAACTCATATTTTTAAAAGAATATGATGGACGTGTATTTTAATATCTTAATATCCTAATGTGGTAGGGTTCTTTTTTTTTTTTCTTGGTAAAGGTGTAACCTTTTACTTGCTCAGTGGATGATATTTTAGGTTTTAAAAGAGACCATAGTAAGGAACAGAGGTTAGAGAGTTTTTTTATCTGGTGCATTCTCTCTACGATGTGTGTGACAACTTAACTTGGCCACTAAGAAAGAGTTCCCTGCTCAACACCACTGTCCGGATTGTTGCTTCGCCAAACCACTGTAATTCACTTTTCTTTTATCAATTGGAATCTCCCAAGTTCCACAAAATGGTAACTTTTTTTTTTTTTTCAAAAATAGTTACAACAGAATATCTTTTGTCATTTAACTTGGTGGAGGCAGGACTGGAGCAGGGTGTAAAGCAGTGAGCCTTCGAGTAAGGGCCAGGCAGTAGGGCTTTAGATCCATTTTTAGTGATTCATTTCCTTTGTGGTCCTATAACTGCACAACTGAAGAGGAAAGGGGGAAATAATTGAAAATGTCACTTTTAGGTGCCAATACTACATTGCACTAAACTGACAGAAGTTATCCAAAGTACTGTATAACATTTTGTTTATTATTTAATGTTTTCTAAAGTGAAAATGTTAGTGGTTTTCCAAACAGCCAAATAAAAATAATTCTTTGTAAATAAAAGCACTGTTAATGTTGCCTGTTGCCTATTAGTGTTTTCAGTTTTGTTTTGTTTTTGATTGGGAGAATATTGGAGTAGTTTGAATATTGTAGAACCGCCTTTTACTTCTTGGGAGACTGGGAACAAAACTGTTGCCCACAACAGGATGCTTTCTAGGCTATGAAATAGGGGAGACCCTTTTATCCTTTCCCTGCCCAGGAAAAGAGATCAGAGGATCACTGTAGCAATGTGTCATACCTTGGCAAATTGCTTTGTTTTCTTGTATCTCACTTAGTTGTAGACATTAGCCTCAAGTCCTTTCATGGGAAGGCAGGATAAGCTAGAATATATGAATATATATGAATTCTAAGTGAAAAGTCTTTTACTAGTGTTGGTTTTGTTAACTTACAGTAGTTTATCTTATCCTAATAGCCTTTCCTGATGGAGAAAACTATAAGGAAATGAACCTAGTGAAATCATGCAGGATGTTTATAGCAGCATTATCTACAATAGTCAAGTTATAGAAAGAGCCCAAATGTTCATCAACTGAGGAATAAAGAAGATGTGGTATATATATATATATATATATGTGTATATATACACAATGGAATATTAGTCAGCCATCAGAAAAGAATGAAATCTTGCCATTTGCAATGACGTGGATGGAGCTAGAGGGTATTACGCTAAGTGAAACAACTCAGAGAAAGACAAAGGCCTTATGATTACACTCATATGTGGAATTTAAGAAACAATCATGGGGAGGAAGAAAGAGGATAACTCAAAAACAGACCCTTAACTATAGAGAATAAGCTGATGGTTAGAGGGGAGATGGGTGGGGGGATGGGTGAAATAGGTGATGGGGATTAGGAGGGCACTTGCTGTGATGAGCACCAGGTGTTATATATGTATTGAATCACCAAATTTTACACCTGAAACTAACATTACAGTGTACGTTAACTGGAATTTAAATAAAAACAAAATAAAAACAAAAGATCCAGCCTTAGAATGCTGCCAAATGGTAGGAGACCTGCTGGAACTTTCCACTGGTCAGAGGGGCTGGTGAGGGCCATGGCTTACATTCCCCATCCACCTCGATAGCATGGATGAAAGCGGTCCAGGTGCCCAAGCCAGCTTCCCGTGTCAGAAGCCCTGGACCCCTAGCCCACAACAGCACCAGCAGCTCCACACTGAGGCAGCCCCAGCACAGCACAGCACAGCACACAATGGGACACCCCTGGTCAGCATTCACTACAGCCCCAGCTGTCTCACCAAAGTAACAGGTAAAATGCAGCCCAGAACACTCCAGGTCTATACCACTGCAGCCCCAGACAACTTGCTAGGGTGCCCCATGCATGGAGCACCTCAAGACCCCATGGTCCACACTTCATCTCAGCTCCAGCTGCCCTGTGAGGGAGCTCTCTCTGCAGAAGGCCTCAGGACACACTGGCTTGCACCCACTTCAGCTTCAGCTATCCTGCCAGCATGCTCTCTGTGTGGAGAGCCCTAAGACCTCCCCCAGCCCACGTCCACTTCAGCTCCAGCCATCCCACTAGGGACCTCCCAGCCCAAGCCAGCCAAACTTACCAAACGCACAGTTTACACAGGGGATAACCATACAAAAACCAATCCTTCAAGTTTAGAAGTAGCTGTTATGCTTAATTTATAGAAATAAACACAGAAAGTCAAGCAAAATGTGGAGACAGAGGAATATGGTCCAAATGAAAAAAATAAGACAACCCCCCCCCACACACACATATAAAAGTAAATGAAATGGAGATAAGCTATATTCCAGAGAAAGAGTTTAAAGTAATGATCATAAAGATGCTCACTGGACTGGAGAGAAGAGTGGAAGAACTCAGAATTTCAACAAAGATATAAAATGTAAAAAAGAACTAATCAGAACTGAATACAATAATTGAATGAAAAATACACTAGAGGGAATCAACAGTAGATTAGCAAATGCAGAACAGTGTTCTGGAAGACAGGGTAATGGAAAGCACCCAGGCTGAACAGCAAAAAGTAAAAAGAATTTTTAAAATAAGGTTAGGTTAAGGGATCTCCTGGACAACATCAAGTGAACAAACATTTGCATTAGAGGGGTCCCAGAAGAAGAGGCAGAAGAGAAGGGCCAGAAAACTTTTTTTTTTTAAGATTTATTTATTTGAGAGAGAGAGAATGAGAGATAGAGAGCACGAGAGGGAAGAGGGTCAGAGGGAGAAGCAGACTCCCTGCTGAGCAGGGAGCCCGATGTGGGACTCGATCCCGGGACTCTAGGATCATGACCTGAGCTGAAGGCAGTCGCTTAACCAACTGAGCCACCCAGGCACCCGGAGAAGGGCCAGAAAACTTATTTGAAGAAATAACAGCTGAAAATTTCCCTAATCTAGGGAAGGAAATGGACATCCAGCTTCAGGAAGCACAGAGTTCCAAACAAGATGAACCTAAGGAGGTCCATACCACAATACATAATAATTAAAACATCCAAGATAATAGAAATAATTTTAGAAGTCGCAAGAGAGAAGCAAAAACTGACATGAGGGAAACCCTGTAAGGCTGTTCTTTTTCAGCAGAAACTTTGTAGGGCAAAAGGGGGTGGCATGATATATTCAAGCACTGAGAGGAAAAAACCTACAACCAAGAATACTCTACCCAGCAAGATTATCATACAAAATTGAAGAAGAGACAGTTTCCCAGAAAAATAAAAGTTAAAGGAGTTCATTACCACTAAGCTGACCCCTTATAAGAAATAAAGGGACATCTTTAAGTGGAAAAGGCCATAATTAGATGTAAGAAAATTATGAATAAAAAGATATAAAATATGACAACACATATAAAACATGGAGGAGGGAGTAAAAAAGAATGTTTTTTAGAATGTGTTTGAACTTAAGTGACCATCAATTTAATATAGACTGCAAGATACTTAGGATGCTATATATGGACCTCATGGTAACCACAAACCCAACACCTATAATAGATACACAAGACAGAAAGAAAGCCAAGCATAACACTACAGAAACTCAATCACAAGGAAAGAACAAAAGAAAAAAGGAACAGAGGAGAACTATAAAAACAACCAGAAAACAATTAACAAAGTGGCAATAACACCTATAAATAATTACTTTAAATGTAAATGGTCTAAATATGCCAATAA